AACAGCGAGCGTCCGTTGGTTGATGCGTCTGAATATGAACACGAGAAGCAGCCGGGGGCCGTTGTGGCGGTCAAAGGACCAAAAATTGTCCTCAATGACGAGAGGAATAGGTGCATTCTTCGTGTTACCAACAAGGGCGACAGACCAATACAGGTTGGGAGTCACTACCACTTCATTGAGGTCAACCCGCAACTCGAGTTTGACAGGATCCAGGCCTTTGGCTATCGTCTGGACATCCCTGCTGGGACAGCTATTCGCTTTGAGCCAGGGGACTCTAGAACCGTCAACCTTGTCCAGATTGGCGGACGCAAGATCATAACTGGAGGGAATAATGTTGCTAATGGGCGCCTTGAGGGAAAAAGAATTCCCAAAATTCTGGAGAATTTGCAGAAAGGTGGATTTTCGCATGTTCGTGCACCGGTTATATCTCTTGAGGGAGTTGAGCGGTATTCCATGGATAGAACTGCCTATGCTGCCATGTTTGGTCCTACTACGGGCGATTTGGTACGCTTAGGTGATACCGAGCTATGGATTAAGGTTGAGAAGGACTATACTGTTTACGGTGACGAATGTAAATTTGGTGGTGGGAAATCGCTGAGAGAGGGAATGGGCCAGGCAAGTGGCAGATCCGATGCTGAGACTTTGGACTTGGTCATTACCAATGCGCTTGTTGTGGACTATACTGGTATTTATAAGGCAGACGTTGGTGTCAAAGGTGGTTTTATCGCTGGTATCGGGAAGGCAGGAAATCCAGACATGATGGAAGGAGTTCATGAAGGGATGGTTATAGGCTCTAACACTGATGTTATCGCCGGGGAGGGGAAAATTCTTACTTATGGTGGTTTCGATTCTCACGTAAGTATTTTCTAACACATTTTTGGGTGATTTAGCACTGATATGTTATAGATTCATTTAATCTGTCCCCAGCAAGCCGAGGAGGCATTGGCATCGGGTATTACTACGATGCTTGGTGGCGGTTGTGGTCCAACGTAATCTCTTCACCTATCCTTATATTACACTGGCTAAGGCTTTATAATAGCACTGGAACAAATGCAACAACATGCACCCCATCAATGACTCAGATTCGTCAAATGCTCCAGGCAGTCGATACTCTCCCCGTCAATTTTGGTATAACCGGCAAAGGCAACGATTCCTCTCCGAAGGATTCTTATCCGGAGGGGCTAGTCGAACAATGCCGTGCAGGTGTTGTTGGCCTCAAGCTTCATGAAGACTGGGGAACCACTCCGGCCGCAATAGATAAATGTCTATCAGTCTGTGATGAATATGACATCCAGTGCCTCATCCACACAGATACACTCAATGAATCTGGCTTTGTAGAGCAGACTATTGGCGCTTTCAAGGACCGTACAATTCATACTTACCATACCGAGGGAGCAGGTGGTGGTCACGCACCAGATATAATATGCGTTGTGGAACACCCCAACGTTCTCCCCTCCTCGACCAACCCTACTCGCCCTCTCACTAGGAATACAGTTGCGGAGCATCTCGACATGCTAACTGTTTGCCATCATTTGTCAAAGGAGATTCCTGAGGACGTTGCCTTTGCAGAATCTCGTATTCGCGAAGAGACTATTGCTGCCGAGGATATACTCCACGACATGGGAGCTATCTCCATGATGTCTTCGGATTCACAAGCTATGGGCCGCTGTGGCGAGGTGATTCTCCGGACCTGGAAGACTGCATCAAAAAATAAAGAGCAGATAGGTCCGTTAGAGGAAGACAGTGAACTCGGCGCAGACAATACCCGTGTGAAACGCTATATATCAAAATACACCATCAACCCTGCCGTCGCGCACGGGATGTCACATCTTGTCGGCTCCGTTGAACTAGGCAAACTCGCCGATTTAGTCCTTTGGTCTCCGGCCAACTTCGGCGCAAAACCTACCCAGGTTTTGAAATCTGGCCTCATTGCATATGCACAAATGGGTGATCCAAACGCTTCTATTCCATGCGTCCAGCCAGTCCTGGGAAGACAAATGTTCGCGGCAAGAGTGCCCGAGGCGTGCATTACGTTCGTCTCCCGTGTTTCCCTAGAAACCGGAACTGTCCAAACCTATGGCTTGAAGAAGCGTGTGGAGCCCATCCTGGGATGCCGTGGGATTAGCAAGAAGGATATGAAGTATAACGACGCGATGCCGAAGATGAAGGTCGACCCAGAGAACTTTGTAAGTCGCCCCTTCAATTTGTATGGACTGCTGCGGATGGTTACTAATGGGACTGTAGACTGTTGTTGCCGATGGCGTGACATTGAAGAGTGCTGTTTCCGACAAGTTGCCATTGACTCAGGGATACTTCATGTTTTAGTTTTGTTTCTCTTCTTGCTCGTCTTTCATGGGAGGGACGGAATAGCAAGTGTAATAGTGGTTTACATGGTCTGGTTTAGTATTAAAAACAAATTTTTTATGTTCGCGCCTCTCAAATGAGATTTTGTGATGGGGACCCATAAGTGTTTCTTCTAATATTGCAACACTCTTAGATACAACAAGTGCGAGGGGAGATGTTCTCGTGGGAAACAGGGATTATTTTGAGAGTTAACGTAAATTAACTGATCTTTGCCCTTATTTGTGGGCACAAGCACCGAGTGAGGTGTTTTCGTACACGGCAGTGGAGGATTTCCCGTAGGAATCTAGAAAAGTGTGTAGTTTGGAACAAAGACCTGGATCACAGACTACCGGAGGACATACTGCGGGAATCTGGAAGGGATTTAGAAATAGTTTTGGCATATATTCGCGCTAAAATCTAAAAATAAGGCTCCGTTTGGTGCGTCGCAATTTAATTATATTGCGGTAAAATTTGAGGATAGAATATGTTCTGACATGATATTTCAGAAATATACGGGTGCTGATATGCGAAAATTGGCCAGACACCTTAAACCTGGTTTTGAGTTATTAGCCTTAGAAGTTTGCATAGCAACCACTTCACTCTTGAGAAATTCACAAAAGTAATTTTATTGAAACTTTTCCTAATACAAATCCAATAATGGGAGAATCTAATTTTTGATTAACATAGATAGTATTAAAATTGCTTTCTCTACATAGCTATGATAAAAAAAATTCATATAAAGAGTGAATCCTCACTACCAGTATCAGAATCTGAGGAATATCCTGCAATACTTTCTTCAGATAATTCACCAAAGATTCTGTCAGCATTATCATTGTAAAAAGAAAAGTGAATTTGCAATTCATTAAGAGTATAGTTTGAATTTGAGGAAGTCATAATTTGAGAATTTGAGAAATGATAATAGGAGAAGAATGATGATTCAGTCACTGGACTTACAAGGCCTATTTAAGCTATCAAATCTATCATGAACCAATAGTATACTAGTATCTATAATCTCATAACTATCATACTATTACACTAAAGATTTACTTCACCAATTATCACTCAATCCATTTTACTGATAAGACATGTTGCATCAGGTACCAATAATCTGGATTTCAGGATTCTGGTGCCAGAGTGAGAATTTTCCAAAAATCACAAAATCTATTATAACAGTTAATTCTAAGAGTACAACAGTCTTATAAATATATTTCAGGTAGATTGAGAGATAAACTATTCAACTATGTATTTTTTTTTTAAAAAAACAGATAATTTAAGATTTTAAATTTAAAAGCTAACAAAGGGTTCAATTTTCATGATAAATATATTTTGAGGCCTTCAAATCATACTCTATATAGTCTAGAAGTATTGTATGCATCGAGGCTAATTTGTTGTATTGGGAGAGCGGACCAATTTTCACATATCAGCACCCATACTATGATATAACCAAACACTACTTGAATAAAAAGATTTAGTTTCCAAAATTAAAACTTGAAAGAGTGACTTTTATGCTAAAAAAGTGGCTAGTTACAATATAATGCATTGCGATAAATCTTTTAAATGATATGATAAGATGGGTGCTGTTATGCAAAAAATGTACCAATCTCTCAACACAACAAATATACTTCACTTCATATAAAACTTCTTGAGCATGTAGAGTACCCTCTGATAGTCTTAAAAAAATATTTGTCAAAGAAATTGAGCCCAGAGTAGAGTTTTAAAGTGAATATTTCAAAAAAGCTGTTTTTTTTTGTATTACATAGAAAAATAAAGAAGATAAGGATCTATTAGGAAAATATTTCTAGCTTTATTTTAGGAGGTGAATTCATTGTTATAATATGTTTTGTAATTTACATTTTTATTTCTTGATTACAACTGTAATAATAAACCTGTAGTATGAATAATAAGTACAACAGGAGATATCAGACAATCTGATTATCCAATCTTTTTTGTAAGATGTTAACATAGTGAAGCAGAACTTCTCAACGAGAGCTTGAATTAAAGTGTATTCTTTTCTTTGAGCTCAAGTAGTATAAGAAATATCACTACATTTATTCTAAATTGATAGAACACAATTTTCTTCCCAAAGCAGATTCTTCTTCGAGTACTAGTCATATTGCTGATATGGATAACAGTGATCATGAATCTCTTTGGAAGTCTGAAGAGCTAGAGACTGATACAGAGTCAGAATTTGCGAAAACAGATTTTAGTTTACATTCAGGTAAGACAAAGAATCTTCTTATTAGTTGTAAAGTAAATTAGATATATTAATAGATAACTTGAATAGATTCTGATGATTTTCATGAACGTATTAGACAATTTCTAAAGTCATCCTCTTGCTCTCAAAGTTGTACTTTAAAAGCTAGCACGAGGAGTGGAAACAATGGCTTAGATTTCATGATACAGTTGACAGAAAGAAGAAAAAGCTAATGATAATATACCTTTTATCTTCTCAATTACTAGTAAGTGGTCATATTCTGTAAATATAACATAAAGTATAAAGCTAAGATTTGTAGCCAAAGGAGTTTAAACAAAAAAAAATGAAGTACTGCTTGCCATTTGTAGGCAATGTTTATCAGGAACTCTTTTGTAAGTTTTAGGATATGGATAGAAGAGTGATTATAGTGATCTTGAATCATATTTATACTCTTTGCATACCAGTACTAAAAGTTCATAGTAATCATGGAAAAGGATCATACAATTATATGGCAGAGGCTATAGTACTGGGTTTAGAAGAATATCTAATAAGAATTAAAACAGACAAAGGTGAGTCTATTGCAACCCATGTATTTAAAAAATGTTTGAAAAATGGTAAGATTGTAAGGTATATGGAGGTAGAATATACCACATTACTCCCCTCATATCTGTCATATCAAGTACTGTATGATTGGTATGTTAAAGAGATTAAGCATTAAAATCTGCAGCGGATTCCTTCATATGAGTACTTTTACAGGCATTGGAAAATCCATGAGGTTTTCCTCTTTATGAAGATCCACAAGCCCTCTAAAAATACCTGTGATGAATGTGCAATACTTAAAAATAACTCTAAGCTCAGGTCAAATATCTGCCTAGAGGAGATATCTGATGGGGAAGTACAGTCTGAGGGGAGTGATAGTAGGCAAGTTAATGAAGCCCATTACCCAAAGCAGTTGGAAATACATTGCCAAGAGTATAGGGCTTGCAGAAGTGAGTATGAAAATGATATCAAGATGGCAAAGGAAGATCAAGCCCAGGTTAGTTGTTATTCCTTTAACTTTCAGCAGGTAGTAGAAATTCCAAGTATTCCACAACAGCTATCTGAGTGGTACTATTGGTCACCTTTCAAGTTATATGTCTTAGGCATTGTCAATAAAGGCACTGAACAACATTATCATACAATGCATACAGAAGGACAGCAAGGAAAAGGGGCTAATCAAGTTGTATCACTATTGCATCTGTTTTTAACATTGATTCAGAATGAGAAGTCTGAGATACATATATGGGCAGATAATTGCGTAGGGCAAAACAAGAACAAAACCATGCTATGGTATCTTTGCTGATTAGTTTCAAGCCATAATCTTAACTCCATTATACTTGGATTTCAAATCAAGGGCCATACACGTAATAGTGTTGACAGAGGATGTGAAACTGTAAAGCAAAAGGCCAATAGAATGGAGGTATGGATTCCTGAGCATTATGCCTCACTAGTTGACTCTGCAGATAAGGTTGGAAAGATTAAGGTAGTAAGACTTTTTGATGATACGCTAGCAAGCATGTTTCGCAATTGGGATCAGGCTTTATCTCAATATCTTAAACCCTTGAAGGGTATACAGAGCTTCCAATTTTTTCAATTTACTAAGGCAGCTCCAGGGGTAGTTGAAGCACGTAAACTACCTGATCAACCATGGGTCAGATTTGACCTTTGTAAAAAGGACTTCTCTCTGAACTCATTTCTAACTATTTCACCACAAGCTATTCCTGATATAGGTTTAAATGAGGAGAAGTGACATGATCTCTGGCATAAGTACTCAAAATATGTTCCTTCTGAATACCAATCTCAGTGGCTTTATTCAAAGCCAACAGCAACACTAATCTCCACAGTTAGGGAAAAGAAAAGCTTATGTGTATAATGTGCAAAGAAGTCTAAAACTCAGCAAGCTGATACAACACCGGGTAGTGGAAACAATGAAGAAAGCAGTACTAGTAAGTTTACATTCCCAGGACTGTACTTTATACTATGTAATTAGAGAAATTATTCACTAATCAATGATCAGTTGTACAGGAAGCTAGTGGAGAACAGGAGATATACCAGGACACAGATCATGAGCATGGCACAAGTAGTCTAAAGACTACAATATCAGATACTGGATCAATAATGCGACGTGGTCAGGGACGCCCTCCAGGCTCTACAAATAAGAAGAGGAAAGGCAATTGAGACTTGTCAACTAGAGAGATACTAAGTGTATTACTTGTCTACAAAGATGTAATTTTTAATGATAATTTTTAATTACAATATTCCTTATTTTTTTTATCATTGGTCTGTATTACCATAAATTCTAAGTTTTTTAAACTTAGTTTAAGTGAAATTCAACCATTAGTTGTACTGTTATTATAAAATTTAGAGATTTAATTGTTTTTCTTGTTTTTCTCAAGATTCACTTGGTTGCTATGCAAACTTTAAACCTCAATAACTCCACTCTTTAAAATGCAACAGTACATTTTTCGCATAACAACACTCATATTATGATATATATTCTAAGATAAATTTATAGCATATTTCAGAAATATAGGTGTTTGTTTGGGCAACCACAAAATAAATGTAATTATATGCCAAGACCGCTTTCAGACCCACTCCAGACACTTTAGGGATACCCCTCAATGATTATTTTGCGGTTTAACCTAAGTTAACTGTTTATTAACTCTATTGGGTACTTGCGCCTTAACCCGTACCCCTTTGCTCTTTTCCTCTTGGAGGCTTGCCGCGGCGGTATGTTTGCATTAAAGGG